TTAATCACTGACATTAAGGTGTCCATTCTTAAACAAACTTCCGAGCTACAATTAAGTTTTTTCTTCTGTCTGAGCAGAAACAAAAGGGTTTTTTTAAAACAACTCAGGCTGTATTAATCAGCTCTTCAATACCAACATGTCCATATCAACTTTTGTGAACAGCTTCCTTCAATAATAGTTATCACTGTCTTTTCTCTATTTCATTTCCTTCTGACCACATTATTTATAAATGCCTCTCAAGTGGATGCACGGTATTTATTTATTTACAGTATATTTGTAACTCAACATTTCATGCAGTTCATGAAATGGGATAAAGACTGCAAATGTTATTTTATACTAAGTTTTGCTTCAAGATTATTTTTACTGTTTACAATAGGAATGTTTTTGTACATGTTAAAAAGGAGAATTACAGTATAAGAAAACAATGAAATATTGGCCAATCTTATGGACTTCCTCACAGCATCATTATATTTGCATGCTGATTGTTTTGAGTGTTAATGTAAACCGCCTTGAGTCTTTCCAATTTGGCAGCTGTAGAAGTCTATTGAATAAATAAATAAAATGTTACAACATATTGTGTTATCCTATCTGAAGGTTTGGGTTTTTTTGCTAAAATTCCAGAATTTTAGAATCCCAGAATTCCATGCATACTCTGGATATTTTTGCATATCTGGAAATATGCAATCCCCTTCAGTAAGGCAGGAATCCATTTTTACTAGAAGCAATAAAAATATGGGAAAACAGATCAGGGTAACATGAAATTGGGACTAAATCGTCTGTTCAGTGGTGGCCTTGGACAATTCAACATAATTTTCCTTGGAGAATATGGGTTAGGATACTATTATTGCATGTTACAAATAGAACCACGAGATAAAGACATACTCTCTAACCTATAATCTGAATAAATAACACAATACTCTATGTCAAAGACATGGAAACCACAGGGAAAATAGTATTTTGTATTATTTTATATTATTCCCGAATAAAATTTCCCTTTTTTTTTTTAGGACTGTTCCAATTTTAGATTTTGGAAGGAGTGTGTGGTGCGTGTGGGGGAGAAGCATTTTAAAGTTATTAGCAAACGCAAATAAAAAGAGAGAGTTCTTGTCTCTTGGTTAAGGCCCTACATAGTGACAGTGAATAATGGTATAATGGTAAGAGCTGGGGGGGTTGTAATAGAAAACTTCTGATGATTACTAGATAAGCTATTTTCATTCAGTCTGGAGGAGCTGAATTGAGTTCTCAAATGTATTTAGAAAGCAGGCTCAAGAATTCAGTTCTCTAATCAATTTCTCCCTCATTATTTCCCTTGTACCTCAAAACACCTTGTCCTTCCATTGCAGTTCACCTATATGCTTATAGTAACTATGCAGCAACTGCATCATCACATTCGTCTTTAAGAGACCTTACCATATTTATTTCTATTTTTAAAGGTGTGTACATTCACTTCTACTTCTTGATAATGAAAGCCAGAAATGATAATGTTTTAAAGGCTGTATTCCTCTGAATCCAATTGCCGGTTGACTGACAAAACATCTCAGATGACTGGGGTCAGATCAAGGCTATGATGGCCTGGAGGCTGAGGGCCTGTACCCCATACTGAATATGCATAGACGCAAAGTCTCAAAGTACTTCACACACAGTAATGCTAAAATACTTTTAACTATGCATTTTAGTGGAAATAATCATCCGTATTTTCCTGCACACTAAAGATTAACATGATAAACAGCTAAACTACAAAGCGAACACCCGACAAAACTCTCATGTAAAATCGCTTCACCTTTTACAACATATAGACACAGGAAGCACATGAGAACGAGTGACAGGCCAACTCTTGATAGTTTACTCAGTTGCTTCTTGACTAAATCACAATACTCTACATCGGAATACGTGCCCCCCAATACTTCCCCAATCTACTACAGCAGTTACTCAGATGAGCATTCAACGCAACCAACCCGTCCTAGGACGGTGTAGTGAATAAAACATTGGACAAGGTCGGGAACACCTGGGTTCAAGTCCGTCCTCGACCACAGAAACCCAGGGCGTAAGGTTGGTCCTCTACGCCCAACCAAGGGGTGTTGTGGCAATAAGAGGAAGAGCGATCTTGAGCCCGTAGAAGGCGGGATATAAATCGAATAATAAATTAAATATATTCACTTCCCGCCTTAAAAAAATATGCAACCATGCTTTTTAATGCAACACTAGTATTCAGTAGAACAGAAGGCGAAAAAGGTACCCAAGTTCGAATACCTTCGGAGAGTAAAATTATCGCTTTACACGCATCCTCTGCACGCGAGCTCATAGGAAGCCGCCCCTCCCCCCCACAGAGAACACTGACTCATTCTTCCCCTTCAGCATAACTCTCGCGACAGTCTGGGTCGCGTTCCTAAACGTGATGTCCTTTTGGGCGCTGGTATTTCTTCGATCAGCGGGGTCGACAGGGGTGGAAAGAAAGAAAGCGAATATAAGGAGAGGTCGCCGAACATCATGACTGACAAGTACCTGAAACCAATGAAAAAGAAGAACGGCGAACGATGAGCCAATACGACGAAGAGGAAGGCGTGGACTCTCCGACGGCTGATTGATCCCAGCCCTGGTGACGGTGTTGTTCAGTCGGCGCGAGAACATTCTAGAGGTAAGTGCTCGGCAGCCATTATAGCTCTGCCCCTCCCCCTCCTTTAAAAAAACATCCTGATGCTGCCGCTATGGCAGGTTTCAGCTCGGGTTGAGTGTTTGTGTGCGCGCTCCGCCTCCAGACTAACAATGCTGCCTCGGCTGATGGTCTTTCCTTTCCGGCAGAGTAACCGGCAAGGCTGCTCCCGCTGATCCCGGCCGCCTCAGGACGCTTGGACCCCCCTCCCCTCTCCTGGCGGTTGCGGCGTCCGCCTCCTCCGCCTTCGATATCTGTATCTCTTTAGGAAAAGAGTCCGGGTGCTCGGTGACACCCTCAGCTCCGCCATCGTTCTCCTCGCACCAATTCGGCTTCGTCACAGCCCGGGGCGAGCAGCGTTGGGTTTATGTCTGTATTGGACGAAAACGGTAAGTAAAAGGGAAGGGAGACGTTGGGCATATGGGATGGGTGGGCAGTGGGGGTGAGGCTCCCCGTGCTGGAGGGGCTGGGCGGCGGAGGACCGGGGTGGCGGGGAGGATGGGCAGTGGCCTGAAGAGCGAGGCGCTTGCGGGTCGTTCGCCTTTCCCCCCCAAAACTGTAAGGGGAGGGTGGTTAATAGTGGGTTGTAATCCCACTCCCGAGTAAGTTCCTGGCGGCAGAGGGGCAGAATGCTGAGGATGAGGCTGTTGGGGACGAGGAGACAAGACACTGCGGCCGCTCCCTTCTCGAAACAGCCCTTCGGGGAGTCGTTACAAAAGCGGCGCTCTACCTCGAGGCGGGAGACAAGAAGGGGAGTCGTAGACCAGACTTCGGCCCCTGAATGTCTTGGACCGCCTCTCCCTAAACAGTATGAGTGATAGGCCGTGTAGTCCAACATCTCTAGAAGAGAAGTCTGCAAGGGACGGGAGTGGCATCTCCTTTCCTTTGCCGCCCGTGGTGGCCGCTTCCCCCTCCTTGGATGAACGCGCGGCTCTACAAGATGGCGGCCGCCAGGTCTTCCGCGCCTCCGTCCTCGTGATTCGGGGGGGCGGAGTGCGCGCTCTGTGGCGCAGTTCCTAAACCCGCAGTGTGCGAAGGGGGAGGGCAGCGGGCGGGCGGCTCCGCTTCGGCGCCTTCGGAGGTTCGGAAAGGGGCGGTGGGGCGGGGAGGGATGAGTGGCAGTGGCACCGCCGCCCGCTTTTGCCGCTTTGTATTTGGGGCTGACTCAGTGCTTAATTGCTGCATTTCTGAGTCATTCCGACGCTGGGGTGAAGAGAGGGAGGAGTTTCTTTTGGGGGGAAAATGTGCGATCGCTTCATCGTAGGTTTATCTCTAACCAGGTAAAATAATTGAGTATCTCTTCCCCCCCCCCCCCCCCCCGCCATCTAAGTTTTTTTTCTTCCCACTTGTATTTCATGCTGTTACAGGCACGTGTTTGGATCACGTGGGGGAGGGAAAGAGAAGGTTTGCTGGTTTTTTGAACTACATCTCTCCCTAAGTAATACTGTACCTGGAGTAAATGGCTTGATTTTTTAATTCTGGCAACAGCAGTTACATTTATTATGAGGTATAGTGTAATTAGGTCACTCAGATACGTTTTAGAATATTTTATTATCATTTTTAAAGAATTAGATATTCATTGATTCTCTCACCCCCATAAACTCCCAAAGTTCATTCACTAATATAGCGAATCACTGAAGTAGCCACCTTGCAAACTATAATATGTCTCCTATTCTGCCAAAATCAAGGACCGGTTAATGAATATTAACGAAAATAACTTTTAATGAAAATGTTTTGTCATTGCTAGCCATAGAGCAATAAAATGTAATAAGCTGTAACTGTTACCAAGCCCAGAAACCTAGTCTGCAACGTAACTGACTTATAATTTTAACAAGTTCATCATGTTCTAGACAAAACCAGCATTCATAATTCTGTATTGTGCTTTTTGTTGAAGCTTCTGTGTTGAGTATCTACTGTATAAAAATCATAGCAGACCATTTAGTCATAATATTTGAATTCAAACAACCACAAATAAACAATAAAACAAATACTGGCATTTGGGTGTGAAAAATAAAGATTAAATTTAAAATGTTGCTTGCATAAATGAGACTACTGAAAATGTTTTAAAGCAATACATATTTTGGCAAGTGATGGTTATTAATCATGAGCAAGTACCCCTTCCCCCATACTATAAAAGCTTTTTTTAAATGTTAATATTACAGAGCTGTTGCGCAGCCATTGGTACCTGTATTGGGGAAATATAGCATACAAGCAAGAACCTCACAGCCTCAGTGGCGAAAATTTTTTCATGTCAGAGACCGAGAACTCTTGCAGTCGTTTATGTCATCACGTCTTCTCCAGACAGAAGATACCAAAAAGTTGCAATCAAAGATCTCTCCATCTTATTGATAAAGCTACTAATAAGCCAAAATGTCTGTCAACGTCAACCGCAGTGTTTCAGATCAGTTCTATCGCTACAAAATGCCCCGTCTGATTGCCAAGGTAAATACCTCCATATTTTTCTTTAAATGTGGATTAAAGTTGCCAGTTAATGGTGTGATTTCTTACATATTTAACTACAGTAGAGTTCTCTTTTCAGGTTGAGGGCAAAGGAAATGGGATAAAGACAGTTATCGTCAACATGGTTGACGTTGCAAAGGCGCTTAATCGGCCTCCTACGTGTAAGTTGTATATAATTTTTCATTGAGCTTCATTTTATTAGCAAAAACCATTTTAAAGTTGTACCTTATAGAAATTGCAAATGTACTGTAGTTTTAAAAAACTTAATGCATATTTGAGTTCCAGAGCCCTACTTCATTTTTTCATCTTCCTCTCCCCTTTCAGTTTCCATAGCTTCCTGGAAGTGCAAGATAACTGTCAATATCAGTGTTATTGTCATTATGTCAGCCTAAATACTCAGTTTTGTTTTCTGCCTCATGGAGTCAGCAGATTTTAAGGCAGAAAAGAAAAGAGCTGAGTGAATAGTTTGATATGGTAATGATAGCTAATTCTACTGTGCGCAGTACTCTGAAGTGATGCATAATGCTGGTTTTTGTGGTATTCTGTACTAAATAGGGAATTTTGTTTCTGTGCAGAAACAGTTCATTACTGTTGGGGCAGATGATTCTAAAGCTAGTCTTAAGATAACTGGTAATAAAATAAGCATTGTTACTAAATAAGCATAGCATTGTTACTGTTTTTCAAGAAAAATGGAGGAAGAAATAGTCACCCAGAGTTGATTTAGAGTTGAGGGGTGCTGAAATTGAATCAAATGAAATAAATTTGCAGAGGGTTAATCAGAATGGGTGTGGGAAGGGAGATGATGGGAAGTTTCATTACTACTTTCTCTCTCTCTCTCTCTTTTTTTTGGAAAGATCCCACCAAATTTTTTGGTTGTGAGCTGGGAGCGCAGACCCAGTTTGATGTTAAGAATGACCGTTACATTGTCAATGGATCTCATGAGGCGAATAAGCTACAAGACATGTTGGATGGGTTCATTAAAAAATTTGTTCTCTGTCCTGAGTGTGAAAATCCTGAAACTGATCTGGTAGGTGATGCTGCCAGAATGCTAAGAGTTTATAAAGAAAACTATTATACATTAAGTCAACGAACAGTATCCTGCAATCTAGTTTGAGCAGTCTCACTGAAACAAGAGTTTTGTATCTGGTCAGCCCTGAGGTTTCCCAGGAAGTGGCCTACCAATGCCAATTAAATTCTTCCAAAAAATGCAGGAGATAAATATTTAGCTAAGCAGGACTAATTATAGGACAACTTTTCAAACAGAGGAATACTTTGGTACTTAAAACAAAGGACAAACAGTGTGTGCAACAATAATACAAGCTAGACTGTAATTATATACCAAGTCACCTGTGAGTAAATTTGAGTAGACTTTGTAGTAGGTTAGTTAAATGGTAAGCTCTCAATGTCTAAGTGGCTCCTACCATTCTAACATCTGCAGTGATTAAAAAATTCCAGGATAGCTTTAAAAGAAAAAAACTATCAAAACAAGCTCCAGAATTTTCCGCATAACCCAGTTAGAGTGTATTGTTTGCTTCTGCTGTTTCATTTTCTTTAGGAAACAGCTATAAAATGGGAGGAGGCAGCATATATACTTGTAAATGAAATAAAACTAACTGGTCTTAAAACTATTGTTCTCTTTTGGCAGCATGTCAATCCTAAGAAACAAACTATTGGTAACTCTTGCAAAGCCTGTGGCTATCGAGGCATGCTTGACACAAACCATAAACTCTGCACGTTCATCCTTAAAAACCCACCTGGTGAGTGAATGTGTGTTCCTCTTGATTTTGGTGTTGACCTATAATATATTTCTTATCTAATTGAGGCAGAAAACTGGAGGAAGTTTTTAGATCACAAAGTGCGTGTGTTCAAACTGATCTGGAAAAGAGTGCTGCGTGAAGACTGCGATGCAAGCAACACTCTGTGGTAGATAACTTAGTTGTCTATCTCAATTTAAGCTTGCAATACTAAACATAGCCTGACCTATTCCAGTGGTCTTTATAAGTGAGGCCATCTGTTATACAGACTCTAACAACATATTGCTGGGTGTTCTGTATAAGCGAACACTGTATATTCTGGACTTAGGCTGTATTAGATACATTCATGGCTGCATTTCCAATTTTGTAGTACTGCCATTGAAAGTAAGTACCTGTGGCTGGGCAGATGCTGGTGATGTTTCGAGCTGTGTGCAATCAAGACAGACCTAGATTAGTGTTCTTGTACATAATGATTGTTTGATGTTATTTTGCTTGAGTTTTTATCTCAGAAATTATTAAAAAATAACCTTAAATTAGAAATTAGAGTGTTCAAAGCAGGTTGGTTGCTGGAGTACTTGAGCTAGGAATAGACACCAGTGGGTTTTCTACATCCTTGGAGAGTCCAATGTTTGCTTTCTGTTACTCGCTAATCAGCTCCCCACCACTCTTGCTTACAAGGGTCTATGCCACAGTTTTGTAATGCCTGCATTATAGAAGATGTAACTCTACCTAGAAAAACATTTTAATAATCTGTAGGCTGAGAAATTACATATGGGAAAGCCAAGTTATTTGTTACATATTCAGACTGAACCAAAGTATAGGCTTTATAATCGGACAGACTATGGTTCTGTAGTTCAGAAAATTATATAGGACCAGTCTCATTTAAATAAGTCTCTAGAGTATACCCAAATAATTTGAGATGATGGCCAGCTGAAGTTGAGTTTGTAAGTTAGGAATGGTTTGGATGCACATCTGTTAAAAAATCATCCATTTGATTGGACTCTTGCTAATGTTCACAGAGAGCAGCGAGTCTGGTACAGGCAAGAAAGAGAAAGAAAAGAAAAATAGAAAAGGCAAGGATAAAGAGAACGGTTGTGTGTCTACTACTGAGACGCTGCCACAACAGTCAGCACCACCAGAAGAATGTAGTCCTCCAAATGTAGTGGTAAGTAGATTTGGTCACAGCAAAATAAGTAACAAATGTATGGTTTCATTGTAAACACTGTGCTTTCTTGAAGATGAGCTTGAATTTATGGTGACCTTCCCCTGAAAATTAGAAAAAACAACTCATTTTTAAGGTTAATTATTTGAAGGAATAACTAGTTTTGTCCCCGCCCCCCAGGAAAACAGTATCCAAGCTCTTGAATTTTGCATATCTTTTAAAGACTGTGGTGGTAATATATGAAAATAGTTAACCACCTAAATTTCAGGAGGAAGAGGAAGATGATGACTGGGGTGAAGATACCACTGAAGAAGCCCAAAGGCGCAGAATGGATGAAATCACTGATCGTGCAAAAGTTCTCACATTGACTGATGATCTAGAAAGGACTGTTGAAGAAAGAGTCAATTTACTATTTGACTTTGTTAAGGTATTTGACTATACTTTGTCAAGATAAATGGCATGTTTGTGCATTTGTTGGACTATCAGTTTTCTCATTTCATAAACTTTTAAGTTGAAATGGGATAATTTCAATTAGTGAAATCTTAACTGTAGAAAAATATATTTGATTTAAAACAAAATGTCTTTCCTGATCCAGAAAAAGAAAGAAGAAGGTGTCATAGAGTCTTCTGACAAAGATATTGTGGCAGAAGCAGAAAGATTAGATGTTAAAGCTATGGGCCCCCTGGTGTTGACTGAAGTCCTCTTTGATGAAAAAATAAGAGAACAGATAAAGAAATACAGGCGCCATTTCTTGCGTGTAAGTATTTTTGTGCCAGAAGTATTCTGCTGAGATCATGGGAGAGCTTCATGCTTCCTATCCCAATTTGATTCACTACAGAATGTGTAGAAATTTGCTTCATAACCAGGATGGAAACACTTCATATCAAAATGAGGACATTGTGGTGCTTTTTTACTGATGACCTTGATATTTACTATATTGGCAGTTGAAGGTAAAGGAAATTTTAGCTTCCTGCCCATAGCAGCACAGGGTGTAGTACATAGTATCTGTTGAAAATTCAGTTTCTAGACTGAGCAGGGAGGATGTGGAGAACTAAAAACACAGAGTTTTGGCATTTATCTGGCTTGCTTTGCATGAAATTTCACTGAGCTGATATGATCAAGCAAGTGATGCTAATTTACACCTATTAACTATTGCATTCTGGTTCACATTTTAGTTCTGCCACAACAACAAGAAGGCCCAGAGATACCTACTTCATGGCTTGGAATGCGTAGTAGCTATGCATCAATCACAGCTGATTTCTAAAATTCCACACATCCTGAAGGAAATGTATGATGCAGATCTTCTGGAAGAAGAAGTCATATTGAGCTGGGCAGAAAAGGTCAGTTTTTACGAATCAAAGCAGCTCTTGCAAGGTATCTAATTATTCTCAGCGTTTGAAAAATTGCTTGTATTGCATGATTTTTGCTTGGAAGTACTTCATTGTTGATGCTAAAAATGAAAAGAGAAACTCCACTCCAAATGAAATCTTTATAATGGGAGGGGCAAGCTCAAAATACATTGATATTTTCTGATAATTACATTTGTATAGCACCTTTAGTTATTCCTCTAAATATAGGGATGTGCAAAAGGGTTCGAGTGAAGTGGGTTAGAGCTTGAAGTAGTCGTTCTTTCTTTGGATCTGCTGTTTTCAGTTCAAGGTAAGATTTCGTGGCTAGAACGTCTGTTCCAACCTTGGAACTAAGTATTTCAGTCAATTGAAGCAGTAATTTGAACTTAAAACTTCACATTCTAACCATTTGGTATACCCTATAAAATTTTACTACTTGGGTTTAAAATACCATACTTAAATCTGCACATTCATATGTTTCAAACTTTGTTCTGGTGTTTTAGGCCTCAAAGAAATATGTTTCTAAAGAGCTTGCCAAAGAAATTCGTGTTAAAGCAGAGCCATTCATTAAATGGCTGAAAGAAGCCGAAGAGGAATCATCTGGCAATGAGGAAGAAGATGATGAAGATGAAAACATTGAGGTGAGCTTTGAATAAGTGTTCTTTCCCACATGTATTGAAAGCTCTGATTTGAAATATTTAAATGTTTATGTTAGGTTGAAAAGGAGTTCCTGCTCCAATGCTTTGCTGAAGCCATCTAATTGAAGTGATCCAATCATATAGTAGAGAGAGATAAAACACCTCAGATGTTTAAGACATCATTGTTACTCTGACTAAACTTGCCTATTCTTGCAGGTGGTGTACTCCAAGACAGCCAGTGTACCTAAAGTTGAAACAGTGAAGACTGCAAACAACAAGGAAGATGACATTGATATTGATGCTATTTAAAATGAATCAAACTAGTTTCCAGTGTTACAATGCATACTTCTCTGCATCTCTTGCCAGAAGTGCAACATATGTGCACAAGCTATAATAGCTATAAACATCATGCTATACTTCTTGAACTCAAATGTATGTTACCATGACTGGTATTTGTAACTAAGCTTAACAGATGAGAGGAGTTAATACACCAGCAGACTGATCCAAGTTTGCTGTATGGCATGTTCCTTTTAAACTTGTATTGGACATAAATACTTGGAGCACATTTATACAGTTGTGAAAATAAAGGATTTGGTTTTGGAATCTTCAGTCCTGACACACATTAGTGTTTTTTCACTGCCATGATAGGCTATCACAGCCTACTGTGGGCAATAATCAGAAATTGGGTTGTATTTGTGAACCCGTTTAGTTTCCATCTGAACAGCTTTCCTGAATGTTTTCTCACTTGGTACACTACAAGAGGAGGAGAGGGAAGTATTGGGGATATTGTTAATGTAAAACCTGTCTTAAAATAACATCCGGATTAACACCAGACAATCGAGCAGTAAACAACAGCATAATCTAGCAACTACCAAAGAAAAAATTCCCCCACCAATATGACAAGGCAAGCTACTGTATATAAACAGCAAACCCCACTCCTTTCTAGCACCGAAGATATTGCCTGGAGGGGTAATGAAATATCTGCAAGAAAAGCTCAGAGACCCCCCCAGGACTCCACAGTTCAACTCTGAGCTATGTATATTCTAACATAATCAAGTGGTCTGGATGTTGACTCAGCATCAGGCTTTAGATTAGTATATGGTTAGGATGTAATCCATATGGAATAGCTATGAAATGAAAAATTTGCTCCAAACAAAAAGGCTGTAGAGTTCTGTGGCCAACTTGGGTTTAATTTATAATTGATGTTCTTCAGTTAACCCATTTAAATATGTCTTTCCTAAAAAAAATACTTGCAGCTGCATATAAAGCATGCAGAACTGGGTTTGTCTTAGCACAGATGTGATTGCCTTCATTGCAGATTGCAAATCACTTGATATGTCCCCACAGTCGCAAGCAACCATGAGGACTGAATTTTTCTAAAAGGCTTATGAGGTATTGCAGGAAAGGTTGGAACGCTGACATAATTACTGCAGGTGTTCCTTTACATTTGTACCATTTCAACATGGAGACACTGTTTTGGTGGTAAGAAAATGTAAAGGTGATCAATATTCCAGTAAGTGCTAGTAGACATTTAAGTGCAAGGTAAGTGTATTTCTTGTGCAATATGAATCCCAGTAAGCAAGTAGTTTTATTCATGAGTCAGTATTCATTTCATTGGGGGTGAAAAGTTGGAGAAGCCAAGTTAATTATAAATACTTTATACTAAGAAATAAAATACAGCAAGAGACATTGTAAACCATGAATAAATGAAGACTTGCTAAAATCAGTGGCTGACAACCATGAACAAATCTACCCTAATGTCTGGCCGCATGATCCTGTGCCACTGAATTGTATACTCTCCCTTTTTTAAAGTTGGGAATGTAAACAGCTGATTATTCCATCATGGAATTATATTCCAAAATGAGAGATTCTGAGGTAAAGGTGGTCTGTATCAGGGTTAGAACTTTTCATGATGGGCTGTTTCATACACCTAAGGTCTTACATTTTCTCTAGCAAATTCACCTTTGACCACTTAAGAAATTTGCCTAGGGTGTTTCTCTCGCTGCCTATTAATGGGCAGTGCAGAGGTTGGATCACCTGCATTCAATGCATGTGCAGTTTCTCCCATCAAAGTAGCTACTAGGGGTGAGCATAAAGGGGAAACATACATTATGAATTCAGAATCATGTTCCAGAAATCCATCAGAGCATACTTGATTATCCATGGTTCTAAAGCAAATCTTGGAATGTTGGTTGTTACAGGCTTTTGACTGAAACAGCCATAGAGATCCCGGAGTAATTTTGCATGGCAAGTATGGAAAGACTATTAGCATCATAGAAAACCCCTCAACCTTGGCTTTTTACTGTTGGCTGGAACAACTCTGTTTTGTGCCTAATCTACAATAAAACTAGCCCATTTCATTGTGTATGGTCCAAAACAATTTGGCCATGGACCACCTGAAACCAGAAAAGAATGTTTTGCATGTCGCTACCACTGTGGGAAAAGCAGAATCAGAACATTTGGGAAAGTAACCCTTTTCCCCAACACTTCCTGAAAAACACCCTTTTCCCAAAGCTACTACTGTAGTACAGGGAATTATTTCTGTGGTTATTTATTTTAATTATTTTCTACTCTGCACTAGAAAAAATATATAAAAAGAATGGTTTATTAATTTATTTACCCTGCTAATTATAATAAGTATTGGGGATTCAAAGGTATCATTATTAGTGTATTTAATTTGACTCTAAAAGAAAATGAAGAGATGCTGTAGGCATCTACAAAGGGAGAGAACTTCCAAGACAGGAGTTCTGTAGCCAACTATCTTCTAAAAGTAGGAAAAAACAGGTTTCTGTCCAAGAAAATACAGTAGCTTTTTAGGATATGGTCCATTTAAGGATGGTATAAGGGCAGAAGCTCACAATTTGAGGCCAGGGGCTACTTGTTGCCCTAGAAGTCTGGGCTTTGCCCTTTCAAAAATCCTGTTAACTATTCATTTTATGTTTAAGCATGCAATTAAATCAAATTTAGCTTTCTTACAAAACCAACCAGTTTGGCCCTTGATATGACTCGAAGTCAACTGCAACACTTGGCCTTCAAAGTTTTCCATTCCTGATGCAGTGGGTGGGCCAAGAGTGAACTGTGAAGCCTATGGTCCCTTGGTTTGCATCCCACCACCACACAACCACATTGGCCACAGGAAAGCTGCAATCTTAGCCTTAGCTCCCTCTCTGCAATATGGGAAATAATCCTAACACTTATAGATCTTATCGGGCTGTTGTTGTGAATCATTTATTCAT